GTGTATTTTGAAAGGTGGTAAGGTGGGTTGACTGGGGCAGCTCATTGTAGTCTGACTGTTGCATTCATTCCTTTGGAATGCCAATCAAAGCACTTGCACAATTTAATGAAAACTGATGTGGTTGTATTCAAGGGAAGTGTTCAGTACAATTGGCATTCTTGTATACAATGCCATCAGTTAATACTTTTTCATCATGTCAACCTTACGTAACATAACTTCACTTCGAAGCTGTATAGGCTTTATCTAGCTTATCACTACAAGTTCTAGAGTTGAGATTGTCAATTTTCGCAGTCACAAGATAGGTGCTCGTAGACGTGTGGCTCACCTCGTTCTACTTTTCTTCACACAAGGTGTACAGTAGGCGTTTTTATGATAATCCTTAAATCAGTGTTGTGGCATGTTGTCGAGTAAAATGTTTACCGCACATCACATAATTGGCCGTTTTGTTCTGCCTACCTGCGCATTGATGCACTGCATGCTCACTAGCTTACGGACCGGCTACGTTTAAATTTACGTATGGGGAATAGCATAACTTAATCCATCGCTTGCTTGTTTATTTCCTTCTGCGGGATACAACACAGTGCTTTCTTGCTACTGCTGCATAATAGTGTGGATCATGCTTATTTTCAGTCCCAGCTAATTTTTATGTTTCCCAGCCGGGCCTTAGACAAAGCAATAATCGGTGGTACATTCATACATACCCGTAGTTATTTACAATGTGGTGAGTTGGGACGGGGTAGACAGTGGGATATTGATAACGGATGTTCCGTTTTCGTCGCCTTGCGGTTCCTTCTATTTACGACTTTTTAAACTTGATTATTTTTTTAAATTTCAGCTGTCACAAATCAGTTTTTTTTTGGAAATTAGCTGAGGCCTATCACAATAAATCTAGGTTCCAAGATGGTATTTACCAGTTTGTCGGGATCGAATTGATGTTTGTTTAGAGCACCATGGAGCCTGGATATCAAAACTGGTTGGCTCCCAGACAGACTGCTCGAGCAAGAACTCCAGAATCAGCCGTTCAGATACCCCCTGGTCTCCATCTTTCTGCTCGTCGTGGTCCAGAAGTAGAACTATACGATGTAACTGGTGTGCATCTCCTGGCTTCTGCAGATTCCGCTAACCCTGGTGGTGCAACTCCTCACAACAAACGCACCAACAAATGGCGCTCATTTCTGTTTGGGAGACACCCCAGCCAGTCTCAGGGAACTTCACCGGTGGTTCTAACCAATGACAAAGCTTCCGAAATGAAGTCGGCTGGTCCTTCAGATTATACCCTCGGAAGATTACCCACAAAGGCTTCCCATGGAGATAGCCTAAACCCTGTACGACAAGGATGTAATACTTCGTTCACAAATCCCGCGTTCAACTCGTACAAATTGTCCCTGTTTGACCGTACGAATGTTTCGTCGTTCAGTGGCTCCAAGTGTGCATCGTTTTTATCATGTGACAAACACATTTCGTCTTGTTTCCTTCGAAACCAATTAGGCTGCGCGCATCACAGTATTGAAAACCTTCCAAGTGAGCATCGAAACTACTATAAGCACTGCTTCACTCTGATACATCATCGTGCGGAGACAAGCATCATTCTGGTCCTCACTCTACTCATATCTTTAGCACAATCACTTTTTATTCTCCTTAACACAACTTTCGAACAAATTGGGTCTACAGGATTATCATTCACGGCTTTGGAACTAGGTCGTCTTGCTTTGTTTTCTCTATCCGGTCTCCTTGCCCTGTTTGGCATTATTTGCGTGAACTGGCAATGCTCGTCGCCGTCCATCCAGAGACGTTCGCAACCGGTTTCGGGTTCTTCATCGTTATCATCGTCATCACCCAAGGAGGTTAGTGGCGATAGTCAACGACAAATGGCCTATCACCTGGCTCATTTACTTGCAGCCCAACGATTCGACAAGCGATTACGAGCCACATACATCGCGGTCTATCTGAGCTGTTTGTGCCTTGCCTCGGCTATGCTTCCATGGTTTACTTTGTCTGAACTGTCTGTTGCATCCACAGAAAGTGGTGCTATTTCCACGATGTGGTATAAATACAACTGCACGGGTACAAGTATCGCCTTTCTCAGTAAGTCCTTTTTGTAGGTGATTGTGATGATAAACTGTTTTTACTGTGATCTGTTGTGTTTGGCATTTTGATTTTCTTTAACCGCTATCAAAGTTGGACACCTTACTCTTCACTTTTTGCATATCAGGCGTAAGAATAGTCCGATGTCACTACTCATAAACGGCATTATTTTATTGCAATCTTCGGTTATTTCCGGACGATATCTACGTGATAGATGTTATATATATAGAACCCGACAACGTTTTTATTCTCACCAGCCTCAGGCATTTGTTGTCTTCTGTACCTCAACAAAGAGGCTCTACACTAAAGGTTTACTCTAAGGAACTTCCATCATCCGTTAACATTCTTCCGTTCTTAACCATATAGTGAATGTGGAGTAGCGGGCCTGTATGTAATTCGATGAACATTAGTTATCCGTCAACCGAAATTCGTCTGATCAGCATCAGTTGTTATACTCCAGAGTAATCACCGCATGCACAAGTGATGGTTCGGTTACTGTCATAGTTGTACAGCACCAGAAACAGCGGTTAGCCTTGTCTAACCTCCGAAATCAAGGTAACCTCCGAAGACTCATCGCTGTAAGGATGACTTCTTTCTGGTCGGATTGCTTGGTTCCTTCCTGTTCTTCGTTGACATTCAAATTTGACTGCTCTATGACACGTGTTTCTTCAATTTGCACACTCTTCAGTTCATACAGTCGGTCCCTTAACTCAGTTACTAGAGTAGAATTTTTGTTATCTATTTACTCCTTAGTTTTTGCGCACCTCGGTCCCCCCTGGACATCTTGAGCGCACCTGAATTTGGCCAAATTAATTCATTTAAACAAATGTTAAACTATACCAGGACCTATTTTCATTCGTAATGTTGTCGCATACTGTAACTGTGAACTATGGCCAAGTTTGGATCCTAGAATAATGGATTGCTATCGAAATTTTATTGCCACACGTCAGTTCCGTGGTACGGTTTCCCCGATCCCAAAGGTTAAATAATCTCTTAGGTGATTTTGTGACACTTACGTATCTGTAAAGGTTAGATGCCAATGTCAGTTAATCTTTGAACAGAAATCTCAATAATCATCAGCTTTTGCAAATGTACACAACCATGTTCACTGTGGCAACTAACTTATATAATTATGGGAAACTCATTAATTGCGATTGATTGAATTGGAACATAGCTATAAACAGCAGTGATAGTATATGTCACCTAAAGGCTTTGTTCGAATCTCCTCCCATCTACCCGACTTCTCAATTTCGTTGTAACTTTGAAATGAAATACGCAGTTCTGTCCTCAATAAAGGAAATAGACGATCGAAAAAATGGGCACGTCAAACAGAAGTTAACAGTCCACTTCAGATACATCCCCTTTTCCTTATTCGCCTGATAAACATGACAGTAAGTGGCATTTTATAGCGAGATTTCTAATTAGTAGTACTGCTATTTTAGTGACTGCCTATATTGATATTTTTCTCGATTCATTTGTATTGCCTGCTATAATTGTTCTATATTGCAATGGACAGTTTAAGGCTGAGAAAACTTATCATATAGCCATGAAACTCAACCAACTGAACATTGGAGCATAAATTGACGAACTACGTAAATCCTCAGTGGGATAGATATCATATCAAGCTGATCAAGGTTGGATGGCAGTGAGGGTTCAAGCCTTTGACATAACGGCCCGGAGCACACTTTGGCTACAGCGATTTATACCACCTGATCACCACTGTTCGTTCGGAGAGCCGTTGTTCTTCAGTACATGCCAGCGTTTTCCCTCGATTGTGTTAATCAATGGCTTCGGGGTCGCGATCATTTCCATCTACCTGATTTGTGTTTATCTTCAAGTGCTGTTTGCAGACCAAAATCTTACGATTTAATTCATAAAGAAAAGCCTCTGATCTTTGATCTACACACTCCTCAGATTGTTAGTATTCTCACTACACATGTTCTCTTTTAATCACAGTTTGAACTGACGGTAATCTAATTCAATCTGGTTGTTCACTTGTGTACTCGTTTTTGCATCGTTCATGTGACCGATTGTGTAGATAGACCACATAACGCGTTCCGAAAATTGATTCAAATTTATTTATCCGTTCTTCCCCTTGCTTCCTTTAAATCATCTTCCATGTAGAATTTGTATTTTAGAAAAGCACTCCCCTAGGTTTACCCGTCTGCAATCTACGATTTGTTTTGGTTTCATCGGATTAGCGCATCCACTGTTTGACGAGTTCCTTTTCGACAGATGATTAGTTGTTCGCACCATGCCATTTCCGTCTTGGTTAATGATGATATTCCAGTGCCTCGAAATATGTCCTGTGGCAGTTGGTCACATTACAGCACCCAGGAGCTTTCATTTCACTTGTTACAGATCGATGCCACCAC